CAGGAACTGCTCAGTGATCGAGGCCACGTCTTCCTGTCTGAAGTTGTCGAAGCCATTCTCAAAGAGTGCAACGTTGTTCACCGCAAAACTGCTGCTTACCACCCGCAGACGAATGGCCTCACTGAACGCTTCAACCGTACGCTCGGCGACATGCTCTCCAAGTACGTCGCCGCCGATCACACAAATTGGGATTCCATTCTACCCTTCGTCACCTACGCATATAACACCGCCCCTCAGAGCACTACTGGCTTTTCACCTTTCTTTTTAATATATGGAAGGCACCCGTCGCACACCATCGACATTATACTTCCGTACAAGCCAGATCCGTCAAAGTGGGCGCCTATTTCTGCTACAGCCAAGCTTGCTGAAGAGTGTCGAGAGCTTGCAAGGACCTTTACAGCGCATGATCAAGAGCGGCAAAAAGGAATTCGCGCTGACACCAGCACTACTGCGCCCACGTTCCTCCCTGGAGCGTTCGTCTGGCTCTCGATCCCTAGCACTTCAACTGGCCTATCTTCAAAACTATTGCCCAAATACGAAGGCCCCTACCGTGTCGTCGAACGCACTTCCCCTGTAAATTACTTGATCGAACCCATCGAACCATCTTCGGACATGCGCCGTCGAGGGCGCGACATTGTCAACGTGGAGCGCCTCAAAGCCTACCACGACCCGCTCATAGTAACCAGCTGTTAGGTCGCCAGGCGGCTCCCTCTTCGTACCCGGGGTAGTTGTGGCGAAGCCTTCGAACAGTGGGTCGTCCTCTTCAGCGCCTTCTAGTGGGTTGCCCTTTTTAGCGAAAAGAAGAGCAGCTCGTGCAGAGAGTCGATACCCGCATTGACTGTCGCTGTCAAGCATCGTCGACAAGTGTCCGCCAATAAACGTCTCAACAATATATATATATATATATATATATATATATATATATATATATATATATATATATATATATATATATATATGATTCAAAAAAGAAATTCTGTTGGTCCGGTGCAAATATAATTATGAAATAAAGGAGCACACTTACGAAAATTTGATGGTTGTTTACTCTACGTTCCGGCCGTGACACCGCCTTCGTCAGGAAGGCCGTGCCACGGCCGAAACGTAAAGTAAACAACTATCAAATTTTCGTAAGTGTGCTCCTTTATTTCTTGATTATATATATATATATATATATATATATATATATATATGCCCTACGCACGCTGAACCCAGTATTGTTGTTCTCATTGGTACTTTCAGTGCGTCAGAAGAATTTTTTGAACGTACCAAAGCTAGCTTATGAGCGAAAAACTGAATCATTTTTAATTAGCAACTCCAACGGACAGACGAGAGGCGGTCAATAGAAAATATGCAGTACTCTATCGGAAACAAGCGAATATTTCATCGAAAGATAGAATAAGAGGTAAAAAACTTCACAATAAAGTGCGAAATGTTTCCTTTGGTTTTTAAATGAGAAGTATTTCTTTGCGAACTTCGGCGACTTTGAGCGTATCTATCTATCTATCTAGCCGCTTACGTTTGGTTGCTCCCGTTGTCGCCCCTTTAACTTGGCGTGAACGCGTGAACCAAAATTAGTATGAGAGGGTAAGATGGTTTGACGAATATGACGCGCTGGTCAAAACGTCTATATTTCACAATACCATTGCGTACATCGTCAAACGCTTCCCACCAGGCAATGGTACCGCTGATCAATGCGGGTATGGGCCACAGGTGATTTACACTTACCATATACCCAGGAACGACGAGAACAAACATGGGCAATTTCAACGCGCGAGCGTCAAGAAATACCCGACATCGGTAGCGGCGACCCGACGAATGCAAAGAATAAATGTCAGGGTCCCAGCTGGAATCGAACCCAAGCATTCTGCGTGGCAATGAAGCATTTTACCACAGAGCTACGCCAGGGCTCGGAACTACTTTTAAAATAGACGCCAATCTTCGTGAAACATCAATAGTGGTTGCAGTGCTGCCCATACCCAATTTTATAAACATTACATTCGTACTCCTTTGATATAGCCATCACGTCATGTTAACGACAATCGTGGTGAGCTGCCATGCGATGAAGTTGATTTATTTAGCAGTGTCCAGGGTCGGCATCCTGGTGAACATCAGCGTTGCATATCAGCTTCTGGTGGTGCTAATACGCATGTTACAGTCGGCATAGTAGCGCAAATGCACATAACTGGTTATTTAAACATCTTCACTTCTTGAACATAAGTCTGTGCGTGCAACATTTGTACATATATTTAGCGTCATTTTAGGAGGTGTCGCGCAATAAGACAGTTGCAACACGGTCACCTTCCCTCCGCATGTTTCGCATAATGCCGACTTCCAGGCACGTGGGATCTGCCGAATTTTTTTATCCCATGACCGCAAACTATGCGCGCGAAACGACATATCACACGTACCTAGCCATGTCATACCTGCGCTTACTATGCGTTCAGATTTTACAACACCGCCAGGCCGACTGGAGCCACAATCGCCTGTCCTTACTTTTCACAGCGCACATAATTGAACCCCTCACCCTCTTTTTCCCACTTTCCTCGTATTCCGCGATTAGAAGGTGTGCACTAGTACACTGCTTTTCTACACAGAATCGCATACTTTACCTTTCACCAACAGCGTATGTGTTCATATTTGTACACTTACAGAAGGCTGTACGTATGTATTACTTTCGATATTCTTGTTGCGATCACGCTGATGGAACATGCAACATCCAAGTGCACTGAACCGAGCACGGCCAGAGTATGAACATAACATAAGTGGTACCTTAGAGGAAGTTAATTGTTTTTGTCTCGTCGAAGAAGGAACTCCACGTTGCTGACAGCGCAAGTATTGTCGACGACGTAGTTTGTCTGAAAACAATCACCACGTTAAACATTCGGTCCAGTGCAGCTGCAATGGCGCGCTGCTCGCTAGCGACCTAATACTGCGGCAAATCTCTCAGGCAGGCTCGGTACATACTACCTCGGAGTGCCGTTAAGTTCACATGTAAATTTTAGTTCGTTCAGTTTTCTTTAGCACGTACAGCAGACTTACGCGAGGCATCGATGATGCATGGTCGATCAGTTCACACCAGCACCCTTCGCAATGCGGCAAGAATAAGGTAGCGAACATCTAGCAGTTGGCATCGTTTGACAAAGTACTTCGGTTCGATATAAATTCCTCGGAAAATCAAAGTTTTCTACGAAATCATCTCGGGAGTGCTTGCAACGGGTACAATTGAAAGACGGGATACGGGAGTGGCAAATAAACACGTGTACTTTATCACCCAAAAGATAAAAGGCAAAAAGTGAAAAGCGAGAACAAACACTCACGAGTACACAAAAGTACTCCAATACCCACTTGTACATATTCAAACCAAAACTAGCTGTAGCCCAGTTTAAATCAGTCTCCAGCCCTAGCCGCTAGTGCTAAGCCAATATGGCGTCTCAAGGATGGAACGTCCTTACAGTTCATCGCGTTATCACGTCGGCTCGGTGCCGTTTGCTGTGTGGACACTTAGCCGAGTCCTCCCTCGACGTTCAACGCGAGTTCCTGTGGTCGTGCTCTTTTTCCACCGAACGAGCCACTCGTCCTCATCGCTGGTGTCCCGGTCTTCGTTAGAGTGTTCAGCCTCGGTAGGCTAGGCTTAGCTCATCAAGGCCTTCCTTGCTACGGGTCCGATCTACTGACTGGTACCGTTCCGGCACGAAGTGGAATAGCTGCAAGTCCAGCAGAAACTGTTCTACAAGGGTGCAGCAAGTCTAGGCAACATCACTCGGGAACTCCGAGGTTGATGGCCACTTCCCGGACCTCTAACGCCGACATCCTTCAGAACCGGGTGGATGTATTGTTCTTATCGCTGTAGTGACACTGATTTCTCACGTCATCGCTGCTCGGAGCCCCTATGCACAGTTACAGATCATCCTTCGAGATTTTTCATTACGGCTCGGGTCGCGTGCCACCAGCCATCTTCCATCCATTCTCGTACATTAACGAGGCGCGTCTGCCCACCATTGTGGTCTTGCACACGTGTGGCGTATTGCAGTGCCTGGCATGTGCCTCGCGCCTTTTTACTCCTGGCAGAGTTGATCCAGTGAAAGCAGCATAGGACGCACGTCCTATGCTGTACTCACTGATTTCAAACATACGAAGCACGCCCGTGCGTCCTAGGTTTTTCTACGCGAGTAGGTGAGTTGATGCTCCTGCCGCAGCCATCTCAAATTGCAGGGCGCGCCACCTGCAGCCTGTGGGCATTGTGATTATCAAGCTAGTAAAACGGGCGCGAGTGAAGTATAAGTGTAGCGTGTAATACATGTCGTAAATGACAGGCATAATATTATTTTCCAACTACTACCAATCATCTACATTCATCGTATAGTAATCTTGCACCATGTCAATATTCGTGCATATCAAGCAAGCGTAACAACCATGAGCGCACCATAAGCGTTGCATTTATATCATGCTGCACAGGACATGTAGGGATCCTCGCAGTCGGCGATTGATTGATATGTGGGGTTTATCGTCCCAAAACCACCATATGATTATGAGAGACGCCATAGTGGAGGGCTCCGGAAATTTCGACCACCTGGGGTTCTTTAACGTGCACCCAAATCTGAGCACACGGGCCTACAACATTTCCGACTCCATCGGAAATCGCTATCGGCGAGCATTCCCGCAAACATATAGGAAGCATTTCATCATACCAGCTTCTAATGTACAGAGTGATTGTGATTGTACATTGTGAATAAATGTCATTACGATTTTAGGAGAGCACATGAGATGAGTTTTAAGAAACAGGGGTGTCATTTTGCGCCTATATCATATATCTGTTTGTGATCGACTCCAGAAATACATGTTCCTTGGCTGTCTGGGCCTTTTTATTTCACTTCTGTTGCCATTCGATACATAAAATAACTAATTAAAGGGATATGAGGTAAATGAATAAATTTTTAGGTAAGTAGTCTGCTAAAGAGGCACGTATCAATGACTTCGTCAAAGCTAATACTCTCTTGCAGATGGTTAATATAACAGAACCGCTCTGGTTATATTCGAGCACTCTACATAACGATGAATATGAATGTGCCTACTTTAATCTTACAAAAAAGCTCAATTGCACGCCACACAGATGCTAGTATGATTACGATTATCACTTCACCTGTGGCCATAAGAAGTAAGTAAAGCATTTTTGTCATGACCTGTTGGCGATAACTGATACTCTTTAAAGATCATGAATATTTATGGTCTTTATCACTGACAAAATGCCCCGCCGTGGTGGTCTAGTGGTTAAGGTTCTCGGCGGCTGACCCGCAGGTCGCGGGTTCGAATCCCGGCTGCGGCGGCTGCATTTCTGATGGAGGCGGAAATGTTGTAGGCCCGTGTGCTCAGATTTGGGTGCACGTTAAAGAACCCCAGGTGGTCGAAATTTCCGGAGCCCTCCACTACGGCGTCTCTCATAATCATATGGTGGTTTTGGGACGTTAAACCCCACATATCGATCGATCGATCACTGACAAAATGGCGTGTGTTTCAAAAAGACAGGAGTGACCACAGAACCCACATGTTTTATTTTATTGTGCAAAACTATAACAATAATATTGATAAAAAACGGAGCGTGCCTTTGGCCATCAGTTTTGTATCGCCTTCGGCTCAATCTGTATTCAATCAATATTCTACAGCAGGCGTCTGGAGGCTAATTGGTGGCATCCTTAAAGTAGTGCGCAGGAGGTTACATCTTCCCCTATTGAATATGGAGGGAGCGTGGAGGAAGTCTCAACAAAAACAATAAGTCGGCAAATCCATATACCTTGTGAATCGACGTTATGCGAAGCATACGTAGAGAAGGTTACCATGTTGCATTTTTTTTGGTTCATCGAGTCGTCATGAAATTATGCCAAGTATATGCATAAATGTTGCAAGAACAGACATATGTTGAGCAGTTTTAGATGAGTGCCCACTTGAGCTGGTTGGTATTGTATTTTTGAAAGAAATACATTTTCTATTGCGTAGGGAACGCTTCAGGAAGAAGACATAGGAGAGAACGCATCCTTTGGAAATTAATTTGTGCGCATTGTCCCATCTGTCGTCTTTCTGAAACGTTCCTTGCGCACTAGAAAGTATCTTTCTTTCGAAACTGCATTTTCAGATGTTTAGATAACCAGTTGTGGGGCTTGCGCAACGATGCCGCCAGGAACATGAGCATTAGCAACACCAGAAGTGAAAAGTTAATATGCAGCGCCGGTCGTCGCGAGGATGGTAGCCATGGACACTACATAACTTGAGCGCATGACACCTAACTACAATGAATGTTAACGCGACTTGACGGTTGTGTCTTAGGAGTACATATCTAATGTTTATTTAATAAGATAGGCAGCACTGCAAGCACAATTGACGTTTCACGACCACAATCGACGTTCAGAAGCCGGGTGGAGAGACGAAGACGAAGTGTTGCTGTAGCTGAGTGTTTGCCGTTCATCTTCAGGCTTTTCACTTATTTCCGCAGTTATACGGGGAACATAGTTCCCTTTTCGGCAACGATGGAAGTGGACTCATCTGCACGCCCACCCGAGTTGCCGGCGACAGCGCCGGCAGCCTCAAGGAAGCGAAACTGCCTTTCCAGTGACAGCGAGGCTACCCTCATTGACACTGCCGAGAGCGTCGACAGCTCCGACGACGAATACGTGACTGTCATGAGCCAGAAAGCAAAGCGGAGGATGCTCAGGGCATCCATGGACGCATCTACTGGGAGGGCCCCGCAAAGCCCGCCGAGGTACACCGTCCTATTCTTGCCTACGCAACCATCCATCAACATGAGACTACTGAACAGGCAAGCTGTATCTTCAGAGCTCGAGGCACTGGTGCCGAACAGTATTAAGGATATCAGAGTGAATCCCCGGAAAAATGTTGTAGCAGTGGACGTCGCTCAAGCGTCAGCGTTAGATTCACTGTGCAAAGTTACCATCCTTGGCGGCATGAATGTTCACACTATCATTCCGCTAGGAAATCAGGCAACTACAGGCGTCATATATGACATCGATGTGACCATCTCGAACGAAGATCTGCCGATTCTTATTAAGCCTGCTAATGATGGGCCCCAAATACTACAGGTGTGCCGTCTAGGAAAGTCGAGATGTGTGAAGATAGACTTTAAGAGTGATTGCCTGCCGACACATGTTAAGGTGGGTCATTTCCGACATGCTGTGCGGTCATTTGTCCCTAAGCCGCTTCAGTGCCGAAAATGTCAGAAATTTGGTCATGTGAGCGCCGTCTGTGGAAATCCTACAACATGTCCTCGTTGTGGTGCACCACACTCTGCCGACAACTGTAAGGCTAATTCCTATAAATGCCCGAATTGCCAAGGGCCCCACGACGCCACATCAAAAGAGTGTCCGAAAATAAGGCAGGAGATTTCGGTTTTGAAGAAATGGTGAGGGACCGTTCGACTCACCGAGAAGCGGTTGCTGTCGTCAGGCGACATCGTTCTCGTCGCCGACGCTCATCTAGAAAGCCTGCCCACAGTATCAAGTCTTCTGTAAAGCCTTCTTTCGTTGAATCGGCTTCACCACCACCGCCGGACAGAAGGAACACGTGCACCGAGAATGCTGCCCCTGAAAAGGAGGCTCTGGAAGAAGCATGGCCATCACTTCCAAGGATAACCCCTGCAGAAAAACTGGAACGTGCACCGGTAGCACCACTTTCTGCATCTCGCCAAGATGAGGTGACAGAGCGTGACCGAGAAATTTTGACGATGATCAAGTCTCTCATCAATGCCATTCGCACACTTATAGGCAACACGAACACGCCTACAGCACGATGCGCAGTGCAAGTATTGGATGCCCTGAGTCCAGTGCTTGCCAACTTCGCATAGACAAAATGGCTCTTTCACTGCCTTCATTCCGAGACGAAGTACGTAGTGCGACAGTTTTACAGTGGAATGCCAGAGGACTTAAATCACGGATCTCATGTTTTCGACATTACGTTTTCCGCAACAGATTTCCTATATTAGTAATATGTGAACCAAATTTGTCAAAAGCGATAAAGCTTTCTGGCTACGAAGCCTTCACTTCATCGACTTGTGGTGAGCCCAGCAAAGTATTATATATATCCGCACAGATTTAACCTACATTCCACATTTGGTGCAACCCCATAACGGAAATCAATACGTATGCCTCCGCGTTGCAAAGAAGAAGGTAGCCTTCACACTTATCGGCGCATACATCTCACCATCTGGTCAGTTCGATGGTGAAAGACTACATGACATCTTGACCGCTACACCTGGACCTTGGATTGTTATTGGTGATTTCAATGCTCATCACTTGCTTTGGGGAAGCACTAAGATTGATTCCAGAGGCCGGAAACTTGCTGAATTCGCCTCACGCCACGAACTTAACGTTATGAATGACGGCAGTCCAACGTATTTGCGTGGTTCGAGATATAGCAGTTGCTTGGATCTTGCATTGGTGTCACGGCAATTCACCCAACAAGTGCGATGGTTCACTGATATTGAGACTCACGGCAGTGATCATATTCCAACGTATCTGAAGGTCACAGGTTTTGCAACTTCCTCCTCATCAACTAACAGAAGAGTTAATTGGACAATGTACAAGGCAAAGGTGGAAGAGGCATGCGATGATATCGCGTGCGGCCTCGAGGAGGTAATGAAAAATGTGATGGAAGAGGTTACGTGCGCCTTTAAATACACATCAAAGCGTACAGAATTTGATATAGAACTTGAACGACTACGAACGATTCGTAGGCGGGCGGAGAGGAGGTACAGGCGCACTAATTCGATTCATGACCTCAGAGACGCTCGACGTCTACAAAAGAAAATCCAACGTCGAATGGACAAGCTGGAGGACCAACGGTGGAAGAAATTTTGTGAATCACTCGATCCTCGCAAGCCTATGTCCCATATATGGAGGACGGTGCGTGGCCTTGGCTCGACTCCACAACAACGTCCATTCAGCACATTGGCTCTCCATCAAGGCCGCCTGCAGGTTGACGTTGCTGAAGATTTCTGCGTAAGGATTGCGGGCAATGTGGTTACCATGAGTGACGAAGTTCTCGGGGATGTTCCTGTAGCACGAGTTTCTGAACTGAATATGCTTTTCTCACTCGAGGAACTGGATGCAGCTCTAGCCACCTGCAGACGTTCATCATCACCTGGGCCGGACGGTATTACATACGCTGCTTTATGCCATCTTGGAAGACGCGGCCGAGACCAGCTACTAAAATGCTACAACCAGTCATGGAACGATGGCGTCGTTCCAGAAAGGTGGAAATCCAGCCGCTTGGTACCAATCCTCAAACCTGGAAAGTCGCCGCTTGATCTGGCATCATATCGACCCATTGCGCTATCCAGCTGCGTAGGGAAAATAATGGAAAGAATGGTTCTGACACGCCTCGAGTGGTACCTTGAACGCTATAATATATACCCAGAGGCCATGGCTGGTTTTCGAAGAGGCCGCTCTTCTATTGATAATGTCATCGACCTCGTAACCTCTGTGCAACAACAGAAATACCTCAAGCGCATCTCGGTTGCAATGTTCCTCGATGTGAAAGGTGCATACGACAACGTAACGCACGATGCCATCCTAGATGCCTTGGCGAACATTGGAATCGGTGGAGAAATGTTTCGATGGATTCGGAGCTACCTGCAGAGGAGATCCTTCTTCGTGCTCACTGCGGAAGGCCGCACCATTGATCATTACACCACTCGTGGCGTTCCACAAGGCGGGGTTCTCAGCCCTACGCTGTTTAACCTCACGATCATTGGCCTTGTACAAAGCGTACCTCGATCAGTCAATATCTCTACATACGCTGATGATATATGTATCTGGGCTTCAGCAGTGACACGACTCCAGGTACGCGCATGGCTCCAAAACGCAGCGAGAATAACTTCGACGTACCTCCATGCTCGAGGCCTCACAATTTCCACCGAGAAGTGCGCCTTAGTCCCTTTCACCCGCAAGCCCATGATCTGTTATCCTGTTTCTATCGACAACGTGAACCTTTCGTATATGAGACGTCATCGATTCCTGGGTGTCATTATCGACAGAGATCTCTCGTGGAGTGCTCACATCTCGCACTTGAAGAAGAGGCTCAGCTCTATCACACACGTGATGAGATTTCTCGCTAGTAAAACGTGGAGCACATCAGTGTCATCTATGCTTCAGCTGTACAGAGCGCTATTCTTGGGATATTTGCGGTATAGCACGCCCGTGCTTTCCAACGCCAGAAAAACTAACATCAGTGTCCTGCAAAGCATTCAAGGCCAAGTCCTCCGCACATGCTTGGGGCTACCTCGGTGCGCTAATACGTTAGCAACAATTGGTATTGCTAAAGACCATCCGATCACGACATATATAACTGTTGACACACTCCGGACACATATCCGTCACATATCCAGAGTGCCTAACCACCACCTTGCTAGCTTGCCACTAGAAAGACCAAAGGCAGCGTTTTCCAAAGTTGTTGCGGCTAACCAGAATTCCATCTCGTGGAGATTCTCGCCCGCAACCATACCACTATCTCCAGAGTGGTGCATGAAAAGACCGACTGTGCACCTCGAAGTGCCGGGGATATCTAAAAAGGCAAGCCTGTCATCTGCAGCCCTCAAGCAGATCTCACAGGACCTTTTGCAGTTGTCATATGCTAACCGAATTCACGTTTACACGGACGGTTCGGTCTCGGGAAGTTCGACAGGTGCCTTTGTCATACCATCTCGATCAATCACCGTCAAATTCAAGACATTACACGTCACGACATCTATGGGATCCGAGCTCGCCGCTCTTCGAGCTGCCGTGGAGTTTGTTACGCGAGAATCCCCTAGTAGATGGGCCATTTTCTGTGACTCCAAGGCAGCCCTTGAATGCGCGCGAAGTCTACGACGTGGAAACTACCACCAGATGGTGTATCGTATTAGTGAAATTTGTCATCGCGCTGCTGATCAAAAACACGACATTGTTTTACAATGGTTGCCGGGCCACTGTGGCATCAGTGGTAACCACCTCGCCGATGACGCTGCCCGATGTGCCCACGATGAAGCACCCACACTGTTAAAACCCTTGTCAAGAGTAGACGCAGCTAGAGAACTTCGTCACATCGCGCATAATGCCACGCTTGCGCACTGGAATTCTTCACCTAACTCCAATAAACGCCCTAAGAATCTGAAGTCATTGCTTCAGAAACAAGTGCCATCCAAGATTTCTCGACGTGACGCTACAATGCTGTGCCGGCTGTGGACTGGGGTAGCGTTTACTAAGTCATTCAGCCATCGCATTGGCATGGCGGATTCATCCATGTGTGAAAGCTGCAACTGTATAGAGACTATTGAACATCTCTTGTGCCACTGTGCCCAATTTGATGAAGATCGCCGGACTCTCCAGTGTGCCTTGAATAGACTCGATGACCGGCCATTTAATGAAGCAAAGATCTTAGGAGCCTGGTCGCGCAGCACATCAGCACAGAAAGCCACACAAGCCCTCCTGAGATACTTGTCAACAACTTCATTGAGGGACTGCCTGTGAAACTCGGCATTGTGTGTGTGATGTGACATGTGTCTATCCTTCTCTCTCTCTTTTACTCCCCTCTCCCCCTCCCCATGTGTAGGGTAGCAAACTGGACGCATAGTCTAGTTAACCTCCCTACCTTTCCTACATTCCTTCTCTCTCTCTCTCTCTCTCACGAACATCAAGGTCTGTTTGAAAAGTAGCTGCGAGACCTGGCGTGGTTCTCTGGTAGATTGTTTGGTTGCCATGTAGAATGCTTCGGTTCGATTCCTGAGGAATTAGATAGCGGCAAACTGGCGAGATACAGAACTTTCTATTTTTCTGAATTTGTGCCTGGCAATTCGACTCACGCCATACGTCAAGAACAGTCGTCGGCTGTTAAGTATAGTGGAATGACCGGTGGAACGCGTGATCTTTATTGAACTGTTTCTTCTGGTGTTCGTGTAAGCATGCTAATAAACCTCAGTAACTATAAAAAATGTTGGGGTTTAACGTCGCAAAGCCGTGATGTGATCAAGAGAGACGCTCTAGTGGAGGACTCCGGAAATTTCGATAACCTCAAGCAATTTCTTCTCTATCCAAAATGCGGTCGCCCCGGCCGTGATTCAATCCCGCGACTTGCGGATCGGTGGTATAAAGCACCATGACCACTACACTGCTCTTGAGTAAACTTACCCTTCCGCGCGCTGCACGTAATCTTAAAAGACTGATCTAAGCTAAGGAAAATAAACGAAAGCGTCGTAAATATTTCGGCGTGTTGTGCATCGAACGTTGCTGATAATTTCTGTAGGTGGAAACATATATCATAAGTCTGGCTATATTTTTCAAACTAAATTTTTACGCGTTTTTTTCACAACATTTGCAGAAAGAAAATGAAAGACAATGCGACCCTCGAGGAGCAGTGCCCAATGCACCCTAGTGTTCCCTGCTTGCTAAAACGACAAAGTGAGATTTGTAATCATTTTCTTCGCACCTCTCCGCAATTTCACTAGTTCTCTCGTGAAAGTTGTCGTGAATGTGTATAGCAAAGTGTGGCTGAGCAGCTGCAAAAGTTTACGAGCTGGGCATCATAGCGTGAAGCGTAGAACAGTACTACCATGGGGCCTATCCGACCAAATGACTAATGTGAAAGAAGAGTACCATTGGCCATTGCCACTTAATGAGGGTTGATTATTTAGTAATTTTGGTTTCCATTAGGTGCTGAGCACTTTCGTGGAGCATTCTTTCACCTGTCGTGGTCAACGCTTAGCGCAACACAGGCTAAACTATATATAACATAGCCATCTGAATCATGCACTTGCGCTTGTTGATTGGCGTGTTTGCTTGTTTATTGCCTGTGAACACTGGCACATACCCACTCTGTGTGATTGGCCAAGAAAAGATGTAACCTTTCTTCATTAATTTGTGGGGTTTAACGTCCCAAAACCACCATATGATTATGAGAGACGCCGTGGTGGAGGGCTGCAGAAATTTCGACCACTTGGGTTTTTTTAACGTGCACCTAAACTTGAGCACACGGGCCTACAAAGATGTAACCTTCATGTGAATCTTATACGATGATATTCTGCGTATTAGTGAAATGTAGAAAGAAAAAAAGGAAAAAAAATTGGCGAAAACACAAGTGTTCTTTTTCTTCGAGTAAACCTGAATGATGATCCTAACGCAGGTGAAACCACATATAACAGAGTTATCTATAGCACATTGAATGCGTATTTTCCTTTTCCTGTGGCTTATATACCAACTGTGGGGGATAGACCACGAATTGCGTGGCCTTATAAAGTGGTTCTGCCAAGAGAGGCCTTCTACCTCCTGTGCTTCGAAAGCCTTGGCAATGATGTTTGGTACAGATCTTTTTAAACAGAAAGGAGGGCAGAAAGAGCGAACGGACGAGAAAAAAATCACATTATATTCTTGAAGTGAATAATGATGAGTGAGGCGAAGCGTTTGAGGGTTTCATTGATAAACCGTAAACCATACGCGAATATCGCCCACTAAATCATCAAAGACGTGACAAACACTGTACATATTTGCAGAAGATTTTTTTAAATTCTTTAATGGTAGCTATACGTCACTTCTATTCTCCCTTCTTTATAACGGCTTTGTGGTTGGTTAAATGATGGATCGCTGATGAGGCGTAGTGTGATGTTGGCAAGGACAAAGTAGTGGGCAGTTTTCAAAGGTGGAACTATAGGCGGTTTCGTACATACATACACACAAGAGATAGGCCGACCCACGCTTTTAGGAGCTTTGCTCCTAAAAAGAAAGGCTGCCTCGCTCCGTTTCGTTTTCTGGCTAGACAAGACTTAAGCCAGGTGACTTAATTATTCCTACGTTACGAGGAAGTATTCTGCATATCAGTTTTGAGGAATCCTGCATGAAGGTGGATGTGTCAACAAAGGGAAACTGACAACTGCCTACTCGAAGCACTACATCAGAAGGAAGTTTACGCGCAGTGCTAAAGAATAAAGCTTCCTAGTGGTCGAAAAAGTTGTCCTGGTCGCGGGCTTGATCTCCATGACGACATGTGTTCTTCGGCAGCTGAAAACCATTCTTACTGAGAAATGCAGACGAATTTATTTTTGCCTTCGTGCCACAAACAGGTCATTGTCGAATACTTTTTTTGGTCATTCCATTACCTTGCTGGATTCCGCAAAATTAATTCCCGATTCCTGTTTAGTAGCTGCACAAAAATTCTTGCACTCAGTGGCCTTTGGTAGCTTCGTGATTAGCACAGTCGGTAGAGTGACCACGTTCGAATCACGTTGGTCTCTGATTGATGTCCAGACTACAATGAATTCTTCGTTGCGCAACACGCCTTCTTCCTGAAAAGCACATGGATTTTCATGTTGCTTCGTACTACTATAGCACCTAAATTTCTTACACTCATGGACTTTGTCGTCACTCTGAGGGGCAGTTTCATTCGCTTCTCAAAGATTCCGCAACGCTACTCCATAATGTCGCAGAATGCCACACTTACGTGCCGTAATGCTTGCGCGGTGTGACATCGTCAGACGGTTGTGGTGCTTCTTCTGCATCTGCTGCGTTATATTCAACAGGAAAGTGCTTTACGCCCGAGCCCACCAATATTTCTTCGACGCATTTCCGTCATGACAATTACGTCAAAAATAGACGTCAGCAGATCGCAAAGAAAAAAAAGTTTCGTTAACGGGAGTCAAAGCAACGACTTATCGTTTTGTGGCAATATGCCGGGTACACTAATACCGATGATCATGGCTTCCGCGAGCCCCGCCACTGTGGTCTAGTGGCTAAGGTACTCGGCTGCTGACCCGCAGGTCGCGGGATCAAATCCCGGCTGTGGTGGCTGCATTTCCGATGGAGGCGGAAATGTTGTAGGCCCGTGTACTCAGATTTGGGTGCACGTTAAAGAACCCCAGGTGGTCAAAATTTCCGGAGCCCTCCACTACGGCGTCTTTCATAATCATATGGTGGTTTCGGGACGTTAAGCCCCACAAATCAATCAATCAAATCAATGGCTTCCGCGATTAGCTGTTGCCACGCGTCGTTGCTATGCGTCTGTTCCACTTAACACGTTTCCAACAGAACAGTAATTTCGTCAACTGCTTGAAACACCGCCATGTGATGACCTTATCGCAAGCCTCAGCCTATAGCGCCATAGCATTTATCTGCCTGGTTCTAGGATTGCTTTTCCCGTTTCTGCTCGCCTTAAGAAAAATCGCGAACGGGTCAGAGAGCAGACATGACACGGATTGCGTTTCTGTCTTGTTCGGCCTCGGCGTCGTTTTATCTTATTTTAACATGCCGTAGATGGGTGACTTTAACCCTCTTTCTGCGTGCGCTCAACAATGGTCTACTGGCAGTCCCTCCATTTTTTGTAATTACACTGTTACCGTGAACTGCTGCAGGCACCACGAAATTTTTCTTAGTCATTGATCAGGGATGTTACTCGTCGGGACGGAGAAGTACTACCAACCGTCACGAGGATGCATTCACGTTAAACTGTGCTATGGCTGCAAAACATAAAACAATATTCTGCAAATATAATATTGTACCGTAAAAATTGCACTAATAATGTATGGGGATTCTTACTTTCGTGGTATACTGGTTAAAACCCATTAAAATGTCTACATTAAGGGCGATCAATTGGTGATAGCGGCTGCATATCGCTCAGAGAAAAAAAAGACCTTATATTTTAACTTGATTAACTGTCGAGATGATCTAAAATACATCTTGGGTCTTCCAGTTCATCATGCCTCAAACTGTAATGAAGGCCACCGCACTTCAACTTCAACATTCTGGGTTTTTTGGCCTAAAAAGAACACTAAGCAGCACTTTTCGAGCAAGTACTCTTACCGCACAGGTGCCCTATTTAAGCCATTTAAGAACTCATTCATACCCATGTGTTTGAAATTGGCCTAAGGTGGAGTACAGGAACCATCACGGAAGTTTAGGAAACGTAACTACAGCGATAACAGAGTTGGCATGCCATTTCCTGCCCAGCTTGTGGCTTTGGTGGCGGCCTTTGGCTTGATATAAAACTAAGACCGCAGTTTTGCAGCGAGAACTGTTATGAGACCATTGGGGTTGTTTTTGGCGTTTTAGTTGTCCGCCGCTGTTGTCCACAACCACAATCATGCAAAATGAAAAAAAAAACTTACAAAAGAGAATAAAACCCGGACTCTCATTCTGCCAGCCTAGTATTAAAGAACTGAGCTACGCCGGTGCTTGAAACTCAGCTGCAAAGTGACCCTAGACAAGCGTTATGTCAAGAAAGAAATCCCGTTATTATATTTATGAAAGTGTTTTAGAGCAGAAAGAGAACCATGAGGCGTTGCACAATGGGAACTGCATATTATGTAGTTCGTCGAATGTTTCAACATAATGCAAGAGCCTCACTCATAATTCATTATCGTCAGCCACAGCTTCAACAAAATGGACATAATTTCTTGCAAGTGTGTAGCGGATACCACGCTGTTCTGATAAATGGCATAGCGGACGCCTGCCTGCAACATAAAATTTATTAATATGAATGGCACCGTGGGTGCCCTTCAAGTGTGCTGTAGAAGTTACTCAAAGTATGTTTAAAAATCACAGCCATATCCACAAAGTGAATCTTGATAAAGGACCTTGCTCTGAGATGATAGGGTAACCGAAAGTGAATGTGCCACACATTTTTTCAGACAAGAAACTTGGAAGTGCTGTCATAGTTTAAGAAAAACCGTAACAGGTTGACCACCACGTTAAAGTGAGCGAAATAAATATATTATGAAAAGCTGTTTACGAAAATTAAAATCACTCTAGAAAGGTGTGGGATGAGGTAAAGAATCTACTGCAGGAGAGACAAGCATCACTGCTTCGTCTCAGACTAATTCAGGGACATTATCTGATAGTGAAACAGCGAATAAGATGAGTGAGTATTACGTGACCAGTGACAAGTACAAAACGACTGCAATAGAGTTCTTCGTAATATATTTAAATAATACAATCTTATACATACCCTGTGTTCCTACCTGCAGTGACATCACAGGAAATATTACAACTAATAAATGAGATTAAGAATAATGTTGTAGCTGGTTTTGAGGAGATAAAGGCAACTACATTAAAATACGTAGCTCGTATCGTAGCTACAGTCATTGTACATATAATAAACATAATGTTCAAGACTGGCATTTTCTCAGACCACCTAAAAATAGCGAGAGTATGCCCTGCCTTTGAAGGTGGGTATGAAAGGCAAATAACTAATTACAGGCGAATATCCGTCCTTTCTGCTTTATCTGAAGTACTTGAAAATGCAACTAACGTCCGCTTGTATATGTTCTTCACCAAGTATAATGTGATCAATCGGACTCAATATGGCTTACAAAAAAAAAATACTGTGAGACAGCCGTCAAACATGAACTATATAAAAATATTGAAAGTAAACTGTACTCACCCATTTTGTTCGTATATTTAAAAAAAAAAACATTCGATTCTGTATGCCATTAGGTACTTAACAAGTACGGTGTACGTAGTGTGATCTTTGAAAAAATGAAAGATTATTTACAAGCCGCCATCAATAAGTTTGTATAAACAACAGCCCATCCTCTTTCGCAAATATATTAAGAGGAGTACCGCAAGGGTCGATATCTGACCCTCTGGTATTCATAATTTATATAAATAACCGGTGTGATATCCCACGTTCACCCAAGTTAAAATGTGTGCAGATGACAGCAGTATATCTTCAGTGGTACATCAATTCTATAGCTTGAACGCCAGGTTAATGACTTCCTATATCGGCTGTCGGGTTTTCTTAGTTTATTTAAATTGCAACATAACGTTAGTAAAACGAAATACATAATATTTGCCCCAACTAATACCGAAAGCTTGACATGGAATGCTTACTGACATGGAACGGCTAGAGAGGACATGAGTGTGTTAGCCAAGCTACAATTGTGCTGCATGATAACGAATACGCGTTTCTCAACACGTAGTGCTTGTGAAATATAATAAATGACAAATAACATGGACAATTTTGTAATTCCCATATGAGTGGTTCTGTTGCACGCTGTTCTGTTGCACGCTGTTCTGTTGCACATGGGTGAAGAACCATGTAACCGCGTTAAATACCTTTTGTTCAGACTAACAAAACTTCACTTCTGAAAGCAAGCGCTGTTCTTGTCAGCCTCTCCTGTCCGTCTGTTTTTTTGGTGTGCCTTACAAAATATTCAGTTATGAATGTGATCCAACTGGCCCAACTTGCCATCTTGCGGATGAAGACTGAGCCAGTTTTCGAGCGCCGGTTACATTAGCAAGATTTATTGAAGTAAAAACACTTGGAGTGCTCGCGAAAAACCAAGTGGTTGATAGAATTGATGCCATTGTAAGAGTAACTATCCGCAAAACCACTAAGAATACAACTAAGAGTGAATGTTGCACTAAAAGTAATTATTTATACGCAGTTATTAACATCGCTTTCTTTTTATCTAGTATCCTACTCTGCCATCTGGCATTACATTGGAATGCGTCAGAATAACGCTTGACAGTGCCAATTGCCTGTCATTATCCTTATGCCTCATGTGGTTTTCCCCACAGCTTCATTCTCTGTTTAGCTTTCTTTGCTGTTAATTGTTTCATAAGAAAATTTACCTGTACTTTCCTACGTCCCTAGGCGATCTTTGTATGTGTGCCTTCGTATAATATTATAAAGTATTGGTAGCCATAGTAATGTTATAATGCTCATGATGTTCCAGCGAGACCAAAAACAGAGAAGTTACTAATGTATTGGCACAGGACACACCATTGTGGTGTTTTTAAAGCACTCGGGCTGTCAGGTAAGTGCAAGAGCAATTGTATCCAAGTAATAATGAAGGCCATTTGTTGTTACACGACTTCTACGTAAATAATCGGCAGCGAGTGCGTGGTAATCCCCAGAAAAAATAGGATTATCTCTTTTGTTGAATACTCTATGACATCGTAACATTAAAAGAGGCCGAACAAGCTGGAGGGTAAAGCACACCTATTAACGTTATAGTTTTCATTTCCTTCTTTCGAAGAAATTTCAGCATTCAAAATAGTAAGAGGAAATCAAATAAACAAGTTACGTTTCCGTGTGTCATTGTAGTGCAGTTGTCGTGCATTGTACAATAGTTACATTGCAGTAGTGGACGATTCAAACTGCTCGAGTAAGATCATGTATAAGAAGCATGCAATAAATGGTTGAAGAGTGAACTAGAAACAAGATATCACTCACTATCACGTTCAAATATAAAAGGTGAAACTTAAAGTCTCCTATTGTTTTTTTTTTCGTAATTTGGCATGCTTTTTCTACGACGAGAACGTTTTGTGCCGGCGTCCTTGAAGACTTGATGGTGCACTTTCGTCATAAAAATTACGTCGAGAACTTGAACATGATCACATGCCATAAAAAAGAGTGCAAAAAATAAAAGCGACTTCAGCAGGAATAAAACACAAGGCTTTTTGATCCACGACCTCTTGATTCACGACCGTCTAGAATCGTTCCAAACGCGCCTTTTATATCTCACTCTTTTCTCTTACAGTGCTTCTGGTAGTCGGGGTAGTGTCGGCTTCTGGTAGCGCACGCCCCATGTACTACGACGTCATGACTATGGCCTTTGTGATTAGCTCGCGCATTACGTCGCTGCATCACGTGTTTTGCGTTGGGTACGTTTTCAAAAGGATAAGAGATATTTTGTTTTGTAAGTTTTGTAAGAATGACGCAATGTTGAAAGTATAGGGCGAATTCACCTTATAATCGGCCAATCCCCTCCTTTGGGTACGAGCCATTTGCACAGGGAAACAACAACGACAACAACAAGTAGCTGATCGGGCAAATGAGCTTAAGCTCAAGCCTAGAAAAATTGCTCTCGGGCTAGAGAGGAGGCATGGCGTGCGTTGCATTCCGCTGTCTGGTCTTGGTATTCAATAGCTCTTTAAGAAGGCCCATGATGGTGAGCTAAGCGAAAGTTTTCCGGTTATGCAGTGACATTATCCTGCGTGTCCCACCACTTTCTCTCATTGCGCTCTCATCCTTAACTGCCACAGCTACTGCAAACTTTTCTGTTTTCATTGATAGTTGACGTTTTTTGTGGACATAGAGATGTACTGCAGAGCGTCAATATGGGTGCATCTACGTTAGATGGTGCTGTAGGGGCCACATACCGAGAGACATTGTACAGGTTCTCTTATATGAATGTATAGTAATCACTAGACTAATTGCAGCAAAGGCTCTTATGAGGTCACAAATCGGGTCACACACCACCATTGTTTTCCAATACCGCCAACGCCGCCACCGGTGTCAGTAACCACGTCGCACGACATTAAAAAAAGCCTGTTTTGTCAGCAAAATAATCACGTTAATACGACTTATAAAGTGCTTTAAAACCGCGAAAGAACAACCGTTTGTCGCACAATTCAAATAGCGTAACGAGGGGGCCGTCCAATGTTCCAACCCATTACAAAAGCTTGTCAACATTACATTACAAAAGCATTACAAAAGCAGTCAACTAGTCAAGCCATGCATAACACATCGTCTACACAAAAGCGTGCATCGATTCCTTATATTCGAAATGTAAGCGAAGCCCTATCCCGTCTATTCAGAAAACGTGGTGTACAGATCGCGCATGTTCCAGCAAGCAAGCTTAAGGCTGAGTTGCTAAATGTGAAGGATCCTCTCCCTCGGCAACACTTTCCTGGTGTGATCTACAAGATACCATGCGCCGATTGCGAATCAGTGTACATTGGCACGAGTGGAAATTACTGCAGACGTCTGATGCAACACAAGAATGACGTCGCCAAGGGCCACACAGTGACAAATGCACTCGCAGAGCATGCCGAGAAGACGGGCCACGAGATAAGCTGGGACAACGCACGCATCTTGGCCACGGAGAAGAATTTTACAACCAGACTGAACCTCGAATCACTAATCATTCAGACGACAAGTAACACAATCAATAGATCATCTGGCACACTAAACCTCGTGTACTCCCGGACTTTGCGTCATGCGCTCAACGTTACATAAGAACCTGTTGCTCAGCCGTCATTCCATTGTGAACAAGGGACCCGTACGGGTCCCGAAACGTCTTGTTCTGTTTGACATTGGTCAGTGACCTGTTTTATTCAACAACAACTGCATCTCGGACAACTGCATCTGATAACAGCTTTCACTGTAAACGAAGTGAAAATGTTGTCTAGCCTCAAAGGTTAGACTGCACGAGAGATTGTAGAGGCCTTCTACAATCATCACTGGTGACAAGAGTGTGGCAAGGCCATTAGGGAACTTGGAGAAAGTGGAGATTAAATATCTAACCACCAACCAGTAATATTTTGTGTTTTCTACATATGTGTGTTTTCTAACAATAAACTCTCAGCAGTTAGACGTCGCTTCTTTCATAAGTTCTCCTTTGGTGTTCCTGGTTTTTGTGCAAATGTGTCTCCCAACTTCACTTCCACTCCTCCATGCGGTCGCTTGAAAATTTCCTGTCGCTTCGCGTTGTATTCTAGCAGTTATTGTGTTGTTTGTGCCATGAGACAATGGACATGCAGGAAACAACTGGAACTAATGACCTTCCCACGTGAACACCGAAAAGACAAACTGTCTTTCTTTAGCACGAACGAATAAAGATCCGACAGGACAAGGAGGCTCCACATACTGGAGGCATCCTAACGAATGGGCCATACTGTGTCGAAGTCTAAGGGAGCACGAGCATTGTATATTAGTATGAGTTCGTGCAATAACACTACATGCAACTAGCTCAAAGGACAGAGCGCGATTCCTGGCCACGGCGGCTGCTTATCGATGGGGGCGAAACGGAAAAAGCACCTATGTGCATATAAGTGCATGCATTTTTTCTTAAGTACCCCACTATAGGAGCGACGCGGCACGGCGTCTGTGTTGTTCATACGACCTTCGAGGGGCTCCTGCTTCCTACAATGATCTTCAAGTGAATTTTTCGAGTGCGCGTTCAGCTTTGTTTGTGTCGCATCAGTGAAAGTGCCAGGACTATTTTGATGCCAAAACCTGCTGCGTGAGTGGAGTATTTTCACGTTTTGGAACGTTTTTCTCCGGAGCCGGCCACCACCTGGGCTAAGCCTAACGAGGTAAGCCCACGCCGGCGCGACGCCAGCCGCGTCGCCGTTCCCGGGTGCCCTTTTCGCTCTTCTCAAGGCTTATTTTCAGAAAAAAATGGAATATCAGGTGGTGGGGGAGGACATAACCCCCGAAGAGGTGACAGAAGACCGAGGTTGGCAGTCTGCAGGCGCCAGAAGAGCTGGCGTGCGCTCGGCAGGCGCTAATCCTAATGGTGCTACTCTCAACGAGACGAAGTCGACAACGGCCGAGGCTCCGTGAGGCCGCAACAGTGGCAATAACATCAAGGCTAGAATAATCCGCGCTGGCCGGATGCCCCAGTTCCCCAGGGAGGATACGAAGATCGTGATTCGGCCCCGCGGAGGCCTCAATATTGTCAAGACCGGCTGCACCGTGGTGGCTGATGCAATCCTGGCAGCCACAAGCATCTGCGCCGAAGATTTGCGGGGCGACACGCTATGCTCCAACGTGCAGCAGAATATTATGGTTGTCAGCACACCTAGAAAGGAAAATGCCAACCACTACGTCAAAGTTCGACAGATCGTCGTCATGGGCCGAACATACGAGGTCAGTGCCTACGAGGCCGCCCCTCATTCCACGTGCAAGGGCGTGATCCGAGGTATTCCACTCGTAGACGGCCCGAATGATATTGACAACAAGATCGTAAATGAAAGAAATCCACTCGCCCTGGCAGCCAAGCGCATAGGCAGCACCGGTACGGTAATCGTCGCCTTCGACGGTCATAGAGTGCCGAACTTTGTACGCTACGACCCCACCCTTGTGCAATGTTCGCTTTATCGCAAGAAAATAGACATTTGCTACGCTTGTGGTCGGCTCGGTCACCGTGCTGATGTGTGTCACTGCCCAGGCGACGTCGTATGTCGGGGCTGTGGGGCTTCAAATCCTGATGCACAACACAAGTGTACCCCCAAGTGCAGGCTGTGTGGTGGGCAACACCTCACGGCTGACAAGGACTGTAGGGAAAGATTCCAGATCCCGTATGTCGTGCGACGAAGGCGCTGGGAAAAGTCTCGCGCCACCGATCAAGGCCAAGCCACGGCACCACCATCACCCCCCACGGATGGGCAGGACTTCCAGCAGTCACGTGGTTCTGGGGGCCTTTCCAGGCGACGTTCTCGGTCCCATTCCAGGGGCTGTTCCCGGTCCAGAAGCCGCTCCCGGTCCCGAGGAGGAGCCCGGCGCTACAAGTCTGGGAGCCGCTCCAGGTCTCGATCCAGGTCTACCGGGCGTCAACAGCAGCCTAGCGGGGTGTCAGCGAGAAGCAAGAAGTCGGGCTCTATAACCTGGGCCGACACGGTCCGAGGAGAGCCAGCTGAGGTACTGTCGGGGTCACTCCCAGAGCATGCGGAGAGCGCGCGCGAGATTTCCCAGCTGAAACGCGAGAACGCAGCGATGAAGGAAACCATAAACAGGCTTTTGTCTGAAATTGCCGAGATTAAGAACGCGAGAAACCCACCACCGCAAGCCGCCGCCGCATGGGTCACCGATACAATGCCCCTACCTATGGAGGTGCACAGCACTAAAGCCGGCGACAGCAGCAGTGAGGGTCAAAGTGCTCCCAAGAAGAGGGCCGTCGCCTACGAACAGGAAGGTGTAGCAATTCGAGTCAGGTCTGAGCTTCGAGACACGCTATCCACGCTCAGTGAAAGCATCAATAAGCTCGGGGAGAATTTCGCCCAACTGCAGATCACCCTGGCCGCGCAAAACGACCGAGTATCCAAGGTAAAGTCGTTTCTTGAAAGCGTACTGAAACCAGCTCTGACCTCAACCGCCGTCGTACAACCCCAGCCCGGCGCTACGGGCCCCACCGTCCACGCTATTCTAAGCCAATCTGAGGGCAGCACCAGCCCACAAAAGCACCAAGTTGGCCAAGCCAAGTGAGACGTTTCTCATTTGGCAATGGAACTGCAGGGGCTTCTCTAGTAAAAAGGCGTCCTTGCAGCAGTACATTCGATGCTCTAGCGAAAGCTTCAGGAAACATTAACTCCAAACGTCACACTGACTGGTTACAAGCCCGTCTCGCGTTATTCTGATGGCCGGGGCGCCTGCACCTTGGTCAGTAACAAGCTCACACACATCTCTCACGACCTCAAAATGGCCACCAGCAGCGCCGAATATGTCGTGACCGAGATTCTGCCGCGCAGCTCGGACCGAAGCAGCATCTTTTTTCTCAACGTGTACAGTAGCCCTAAGGACTGACGGCAGCGCTTCAGGGCTCTCATAAAGAAGGCCGTAAACTTGGCAGGTCCCAACCCCCTGGTTGTGGCGGGCGATTTTAATGCTCCGCACCACACTTGGGGCTACCCGTACAATACCAGCAAGGGCGCGGAACTGAGGCAGAATGCGACGGACATTGACCTGGCTCTAATCACCGACAAGGCATTTCCAACTCGGTTGGGCACCTCATCCTGCAGAGATTCCACTCCCGACTTGACCTTCGTCAAGAATCTCCCCGATGTACAGTGTTCCAACTTAAACATTGACTTAGGTAGCGACCATTACGTCCTGGTGACGCAGTTCTTAGTGGTCCGAAAGAGGGCACGGGAGTTTTCATGGACAAATTGTCACCAGTTTCGCAAAGTCCGCAACGACCGACCCCTACCTGCAACCAGGCCAAGCCTACAGGAGTGGATTAGCCAGCTCAGAGAGGACGTCATAAGTACCACGAAGAATATTAGTACTGACCTTCCGGTTTAAAAAATGGATAGCCGCCTTGCCCACCTGCTCGAGGCCAAGCAGTCACTTCTCGCCCGCTGGAAAGGACAGCGCCTCAATCGCAGGTTGCACAACAAAAATCTCCGACCTAAACAAGACCATCGAGGAGCACTGTCGCGTCCTCTCCAAGCAGCAGTGGGACGAGGTGTGCAACTCGGTAGATGGCCAGATGCGTAATGGCAAGACATGGAACCTGCTCAAGCACTTGCTCAGTGAGAGTGACACCAAAACTAACCAGCGGAACGTACTAGCGCGAGCCATGCACGAAGCCAAGCAGTCCTCTTCAGAAGAGGAGGTTTTGAAGCAGCTGGTGCAAAAGTACCTCCCTGTCGACTCGAACCCCGCAACAACGTACCCCGAGTACTCAGGACCGGCCAACACTGAACTGGACGCCGAGATATGCCACGAAGAGGTTCGGCAGGCGCTTTACGGGCTCAATGGGAGGTCTGCCGCGGGCCCCGACGGCATAACTAATAAGACCCTGCGCAACCTGGACGACCGGTCAATCGACTACCTCACCGAGGTCATCAACGAGGCATGGAAGAGTGGCGAGGTCCCCGACCCGTGGAAAGTCGCACGCACCGTGCTCATTCCTAAGCCGGGGAGGTCACCCAACTTGGACAACATGCGCCCCATTTCACTCACATCCTGCGTGGGAAAGGTAGCCGAGCATGTGGTCCTCAATAGGTTGACTCGGTACCTGGAAGACAATGGGCTCTACCCATACACCTTGATTGGTTTTCGGGCCAAGCTTTCGATGCAAGACGCTATGAAGCTGCTCAAGCACCAAGTCATCGACTGCAACACTCGAGACATGCGGGCCATTCTCGGCCTCGACTTAGAGAAAGCCTTCGACAATGTTACTCACTCTTTCGTGTTGCGGTCGATTGTGGAGCTCGGCCTTGGAGTCAGATTCGACAAATATGTCAAATCGTTCTTGACCCGTAGGAGAGCCACCCTCAGTGTGGGAGACCTTGTCTCCGAGGAGATCGAGCTGGGATCGCGCGGCACGCCACAAGGGTCAGTGATATCGCCCACCCTGTTCAATCTTGTCATGGTCGGGTTGTCCAAGAGACTCTCATGTATCGAAGGCATTAACCACACAATTTACGCGGACGAGATTACCATTTGGTGCACAGGTGGCGGCGACGGGCAAGTCGAGCGCTCCCTGCAGGAGGCCATAGACACCACGGAAGATTACCTCCGTCCCAAAGGCCTGAGGTGTTCCCCAAGCAAGTCCGAGCTCCTCCTTTACCAACCCACTAGGCGAGGGCCCAAGCCCAAAAACTGGCAGCCGATGTCGAAGAGTGATATCAAGCTCTACACCGGAGATGGCAGTGCAATACCCAGAGTCGACTCCATTCGGGTCCTCGGCATGACCATCGAGTCCAATGGTTCCAACGGCAAGACTATACTCAAGCTCGCCGCCAGGACGGATAACGTGGTTCGGCTGGTTCGGCGGGTGGCCAACCGCTACCAAGGCCTCAAGAAAGACAACCTAATCCACCTGGTCAATGCCTTTGTGCTCTGCCACTTTTCATATGTCGCGGCCATGCACAATTGGCAGCGTGCCGAGCGTGACAAGATCAACGTCTTGCTCAGAAAGATTACCAAGCGGGCCCTCGGTATCCCGATCAGGACGCGCACCGAGCGCCTGCTCCAGCTCGGAGTACACAATACGTTGGAGGAGATTGCCGAAGCGCAGGAGCGGGCCCATCTCGCGCGCCTTTCGAGCTCCCAGACCGGCAGACATATACTCCGAGAGCTCGGTCACTCTCCGGCTGAAGTGGATGAGAAGATGAGACAGGTGCCCCGTGAGATTCGTGACCTCATCACCGTGGCACCGATACCGAGGAATGTCCACCCGGGCACAATCGTGGTAGGCGACGGGCTAGAGCTGCCACTCTTCTCAAGCAGATTCACAGTGAGGAGCACGGCGTCAGCTTTGTCGACGCGGCAGCGTACCGTGGGAGCCGCGCCTTCTCCGCAGTCGTCGTCGACTCCAAACAACAAATCACCAACTGCGCATCGGTTCACACTGACGATCCGACGATTGCCAAGCAAGTGGCCATCGCCCTGGCTACCCTGGAAGGTGAAAGGAAGGTCATCTATAGTGACTCTAGGTCAGCTATTCGCGCTTTCGAGCGCGGTGTAATCTCCAAGAAAGCCCTGCGCGTGCTCCAAAGTGGTGGCCGCGACGGCATCAAGCACCATGTACTGATTTGGTTTCCTGCACATGTTGGACAGATCCAAGGCACTCCCCCCAACCTCAACGAGTCTGCCCACGAGGCCGCGCGCGCACTAACCGACCGCGTGGGTTCCGGGCAACGATTCGGGGCCAACGGGGTTGCGGAAAACAGGGATGCGCCTGCCACGTACAACGAAATAACAAAATATTTTTACTTCGCGCGGAGACAATATCCACTCCCTCATCCAAATCTTAAAAGGCCACAGGCCCTTACGCTCAGACTACTGCAGACCGACACGTACCCTAACCTGAGATCCCTTCACGCTATTTATCCTGACGTGTTTCCCAATGACGCTAGCCCCGCATGTGGGGATGTATCCACGCTGGCGCACATGCTCTGGGAGTGCAAGGCAATGTACACTAACCCCAACACTACATCGGTCAGGTGGGAGGCGGCCCTACGCAGCTCCCTCCTGGCCGACCAACTTTGGGCCGTCCAGCAGGCCCGCGGAGCGGCCGATAGGCTTGGCCTAACGGTCGCGACGTGGGAGTCGCCCGCTGCGCGCTGGCGCGCGCCTTGCAGGATTTCAATAAAGTTTCGCAACCAACCAACCCCACTATAGCGTACTTCATATTCAAAAAAAGTTACAGGTACATCTTCAGGGTAGATAAAGCCTTGAGAGGATGATGAATTTGCAATCACTAATGGTGTCATCCACTGGCGGATTCGGAGTGACCCACGGACTTTGCGCTGGAGCACTCCACTCTGACGGAGGGCACCTGAAGGGAATCTACCATTGGAACACAAGCGCTTATACTGGAGCGAATGGCAAGGTCAGAATAGAACGCGATGCGCGCGTTTCTCTTCTTGCATGAGTGGGCACGCTGGCACAGCGACGCTGCGCTAGCAAAACGTGAGCTCCGACGCGAGGCGCAATCCATTGGCGTGCCCAAAGTTGGCACTGTTTCAAGACACCGGACGCTTACGACTTCCGGTTGAATCCACTAATTTTCACGGAGTAGAAAAAGTAGCTCTGTGGAGTAGATCTCACGACGCAGCTGCTCCAGATCTGCCAATGGAACATACAGAGAGCAGTCTCAATACGCCAATGGAACAGACTTGCTCCTTATAGAGAAGAAGGAAGTATTACCGAAAGTGCTCCGAATATGTCAATGGATGACACCATAAGTGTATCGGGATCGGTGTGTCGACGAGCTGTCTTCAACGTTGCAGGTCACTTGGACAGCTCATAAATAGTAAAATTTCAAAGTTGTTCTCATGCTATAGTTACAAGTTTTGCCATGTACAATGCGGGTGTGTTTTTTTGGAAAATCAACAGTGGTTTTCCTAGGAAAATTTGTGATACTAATTAACGGTGAGCTTTTTCGTATAATATTTTAGACCATCTTATTTTTTTGACAGATAGACCAGAATGTGAATTACTCGCATGGGACAGTACAATGGAGGAATTCAAGAAAATACCAACTGCGCTGCTGTATTGTGATACCGAATTTTACAAATATTGTAACGGAAGCCAGTATACCCAATATGTATACTACAGGGACGACTGCACAACTAATGAAAGATATCTGGCTGCATCATATGAAAGTCGAGCTAAATAAATTTCTGTTTCTGGAGTTATCACGGAACTTGATTTGTTGACGCCTATACCTGTGCATTGTTCCGGCCTTTCGCATCTCTGTTATCTCTGATGCGCCAACTTTCACCCTGATTTTGGTTTCATCGAGTGAGTTTTGTCACTATCATCACGAGGAAGTGCGGATTGTCGTCTTTGAGTTTTCGACATTTTTCGGAACGTTTAACTTTGCAGCACTGAAGCCTACGCTGACCTAAGGTCCCTAGATGAAACATGTCTGACCTAGCTAAAGGAACGCTGGCCACTCCGAGCGGCGTCGGCACGCCTACCCTTCCAATGGCCCGAAGCGCTTCGACGCCACTTGATTAGACGCCGAGCTTCTGCAACCCCGTCGAAAGGGGTGAAGACGAAATAGAAGCAATAGAAAGAGGTGAATGACCAGCCGTTCAACCTAAATCAGCCAAGAAGAGGCAAGCGGCCAACCGCAGCTTGTCTCAATCTAATGCTTCAAGACGCTTCCAAGAATGCAGTAAGGTAGGCGTCCATGGAGCCGCCGGGTGGCTGCCTCAAAGAGGAGAGTGATCGCAGTCTCAAATATGCCAGAGCTACCTCATACGCATCGAAAAATTATCGTCAGACCCCGAGATAGTCTCGATTTACGCAAAACCAGTTGCTACGGCATTTCCACCGCAATCACCCGCAGCAATTACCCGAAGCAAGGGCACACGTGTCGAGTTAGATGCATACTCTGCGGCAAGGGCCGCTCCACCGGAGGCAAAGCTTGTGAACAAAAGTACCAAGCACTTTTTGTCAATTGACAGGGCCGAAAAAAAAAAGAAACTAAACGCGTTTTGACGTGGACCTGCCATTCCCCACACTCTAGGCTGGGCTGCCTGGGCCTTGTTCGGGTGGTTGGCTGCAGCCTTTCATCTTGGGAAGTGGATCCGCACTTCCCGTCACTGCAAAATGGGCCCCGAAAGAGAAGATTCAAGAACCACACAAAGCAAAACCTAGACCCTCTACCCAGATAAGCGGGGCACAATCACCGGTAAGGTGTCGGAGGAGCTTAACAAAGTCTGAAACGAGAACTCTAAACTCAGCTCAGAGTTAGCAGAGGCAAGAAAGGAATTAGCAATGCTTGAAACCACTGTTTCAGCAACGACAGCAGGTGGGGACCAAAATGGTGCCAATGGCTGGAAGCACCAATCTATAGGTGATGTTCCCGAGGTCGACGGAACTGACAGTCTTAACCAAATCAAAGAATCTTCGAAGCAAATTTCTTCGACGCTTCAGGAAATCACCAATGACATGGTAACTCTCAAGACACAGAATCGATTTATTGATTTTCACCTAAGCGATTTTGAACGTAAAACGGGTCTGCCGGAGTGTCTGGCAGTCCAGGCAGAATTATCGCAGTTAATATCAGACGCCACCGTTGTGGCGCAACTCGTACGAAAGCCGATACTGCGCCGTCAGAGTGATCCGAAGGCTCAGCCTTCTGCTAAATCTAAAAGCTACTGATGACTGCGGTATCGAACACCGACTTTCGTATCTGGCAGTGGAAGTGCTACAGAGTCAACAAGAAGAAAGCAGTGTTAGCTCAATAGATTTTACCATGTACATCTAAACCACAGGTGATCTTGTTGCAAGAAACACTCACGTCCTGCACCACGTTCAGTGGTTACGAGTCCTTCGAACGCATAAAGAACGGTGGCAGGGGCGTTGTTACTTTGGTCAAAAAGGGTATCTCAAAAGTTGATCACGAAGACATAGATAGGCGCCCTGATGCCGAGTATGTTTGTACCAAACTCTTACCAGGAAAGCACATGCGCAGGTGATTGCTTATCCTTGACTTATACAGTTCGCCAAAACGACAAGACAAGCGCTTCTACGGCCTCATAGGTAAAACAGTGAAGATAGCTACCGACGCCGGTATACCTCTCATAGTAGCCGACGACTTTAACGCGCCTCACTCAACGTGGGGCTACATTTGAGACTCACCCAAAGCGGCTTCATATGCAAGGCTACCACCATCGCTACCATCACCATCAGCCTGACTACGTCCACTGCAGGACAAATGCCTCTCCCATGTTCCGTCAGTCAGCTCTACCCTGTGCTTGGCTGCTGCCAATTTATACCTGCAAACTTCTTTATTTCATCTTACCTCCTTAACTTCTGTCTCCCCCTAACCCGCTTGCCTTCTCTGGGAATCCAGTTAGTTACCCTTAATGACTAGCGGTTATCCCGCTTGCGCGCTACATGCCCAGCCAATGCCCACTTCCTCTTCTTGACTTGAACTATGTTATTCTTAACCCTAGTTTGTTCCCTAATCCACTCTGCTCTTTTCTTCTCTCTTAAGGTTACACCAATCATTTTTTTTCCTTTGCTCGCTGCGCCATCCTCGATTGAAGCTAAACGCTCTTTGTAAGTCTCCAGGTTTCTGCTCCGTAGCTAAGTACCGGCAAGATGCAGCTGTTATATACCTTCCTCTTAAAGGATTGCGGCAATCTACACTCTAAAAATTTTACACCATAAAAGGTGTAAAACGGGTTTACGCATTAAAAGCACCCATATAAACACCCTCTACACCCCAGTTTTAAAATTAGAGGTGTCCGTGAATAAAACACCCTCAAAACACCCCATTTATACCTTTATATTTGGTGTGTAATAAACAAGGCCACAAATGATTGATTGATATGTGGGGTTTAATGTCCCAAAACCACCATACGATTATGAGAGACGCTGTAGTGGAGGGCGCCGGAAATTTCGACCACATGGGGTTCTTTAATGTGCACCCAAATGTTAGCACACGTGCCTAGAAGGCTACAAATGCACGACATTTTCGGGCCATTTTGCTGATACTGTTAGTCTACGTTACCCATCTTGATACCAACAAGGCTCCTACTACTAGCTGCTTGCGAGTCTAGTAATGATTCGAAGCAGAAAGTAATGTGACCGAAACGCAGTTTTCATCGATAAAGCACGCAAACTACTATAAGATGGAAGATACAATAGGAGCGCTGCTTGTTCAGTAGAGTAAGGGCCAATTCTCCTGTACCTGTTTCTTTCATCTGTGTCATTTGCGTGATTAGTCAACACTCACAAACTGCACTGATTTGCCTGAACAAGGTAATGTTGTGCACATTGGTGTAGCCATGCATAAAACACTCCCCCCTCCCCCATAAGATCGAAGCTTTTAAAGCTGGAGATAAAACGTCCACCACCTGCAAAAAAAAAACAACAACAGCACAGTTGTCAAGCCATAACCAACACGTCAGCAAGCCATCAGGTCTCTTAAGAACGAACATTGACGTCATGTATTTTTAGCAGGCACGTTTTATTTGATTACTGTAGCGAATGTTCCACTTCATGTGTCCTTAAAATGCGTCATGGAAATTAGGAAGAGGACACCAACCATAAAGAAAAATGCAGAATAAGGACATTTCAGTGACCTTGACGCAGCCTTCCTTACAATGACGGGAGCCTTGTTGACTAAATTGCGAACAAAGCTCTCGTCAGGGGAGCCGAAACACATTCTCTAGTTCTCTCTCTCTCTCTTTCCGTTTTTTGTGGATCCCCTTCTTTTAATTTATGTAACTTCCCCAGAAGACGTGCTTCGGTCAAAGCCTTGACTTTGTAGGTAGTGAGAAAACAACATTGCTGAAATAGTTTCAGCCGTGGTCTTGTTCCGAGGACTGCAAGCTAAGTACAAATGCATTGCCGCAACGTGAAGACAGAAGTAGTAATTAACAGGTTGAGAAAGTAGCAGCAGGTCAGTATTTTTATTTACTGCGTGCCAGAGCGTTCCTCTTCTTTCTTGTTATTGCTTGCTGCATAAAAGCGTGCAGATGCGCGTATGCGCTGTCGTCTTCGTCTTCCTAGCAGTACGCACGTGGCAATATGTTCTCATCGAATAGTGTGACGGCCGATGCATGCAATAATGCAATGTCTTTACCGAAATGAAACTGCTGATAAAATATCGCCTGCGTGACCCTAGATGTGCAGTCTCTAAAGACCCATAGAGCTAAGCAAAAAGCATCAGCTTAGCTTTTTTACCAAAATTCACTACATTAGGTCGGTGAAGGTGCGCTAAATATTGCTCCTGAATATTACAAATGCGCGTTCTGACTAGCTGCTCATGCTGGCCGCACTGCACCGGCACAATGTTCACTGCGATTCAGATGCACTGTTAAAGAACGAGTATAACGCAACAGATCGCTGCCGCAAAAAGAAAAAAAAAAACAGCGCCCAACCTATCAGCAGAGGGCCAGAGCTAGCGTTAAACCGCATCTAGCCGGTCTGAGAGCGCACCGATGCCGTGAGGTCTCGTCGCTTAGACAACCTTGGCTGCCCGGTATTGCTGCACGCTCGGACACAGAGCGCGGGAAAGGGACCGACATCGTCTAACATGTTCCTGCGTGCGCTGGCGAAAAACCCTCCCGTGTGGTGCGCGTGGCTTCTCGATCGGTAGAGTTTATTAGTCGGTGTTTAGTTTGAAATGTGCCTGCGCTCTGTGCTCCACCTGCGTGTTCTGTCAGTGCTGATTATTGCGAAGGTGCACCATCCTGAAGACTGGACCAGTGGATTCATATTGTGGAACACTCGAAGTGAAATAGTGAGTACCGCTCTCAGGTTGTTCCGTCTAGCGCCTTGTTAACTGCGTGAGCACGAGAATAACGCCTTCAAACAATTTTGTTTTCAACTAGTTGATGACAAAGCAGCATTTGTTTACTTAGCGAGGATATTTGTCCGAACTGTGTCACGGGGATGATGGTGAAGTGTGATTGTGGGCAAGTTTTTTTGTTTGTTTGTTTAGATTGTTTGGAGTACAAAGCAGAGTGAGCGTGCGCCGCTGAGGTTCAGCGAAGAAATTGAACAGATTTTTGCGGTGCCCTTTGTTGGCAGCCGTTTTTAGCGGGGCCCGCTCGTGCTGCACATCAATTTTAGTTTACCAATTAATACATGTGTGGGGACGGCGCCTGTTAGCTCTAAGCATCAACCGTGTCTAAGACGCATATGCTTCGGCATGTTGGTAGTTCACT